CACCTAGTTGTGTTTGCGGGGGTTGAGCTCTGGCTCTTTGGTCCCGCCTCTCAACCGTCAATCAACAGGTGTACAGATTCCTGAGCCTATCGGGCTCTGTCATATCTACACGTGAAACTGTGTATGGAGTCAGCCTCCACCACATCACCCCCTAATGCATTCCATTTGTCAACCACTCTGACACTAAAAAAGTTCTTTCTAATATCTCTGTGGCTCATTTGGGCACTCAGTTTCCACCTGTGTCCCCTTGTGTTAAATAGACTGTCTTTATCTACCCTATCAATCCCCTTCAGAATCTTGAATGTGGTGATCATGTCCCCCCTAACTCTTCTGTCTTCCAGCGAAGTGAGGTTTAATTCCCGTAGTCTCTCCTCGTAGCTCATACCTCTCAGCTCGGGTACTAGTCTGGTGGCAAACCTTTGAACCTTTTCCAGTTTAGTCTTATCCTTGACTAGATATGGACTCCATGCTGGGGCTGCATACTCCAGGATTGGCCTGACATATGTGGTATACAAAGTTCTGAATGATTCTTTACACAAGTTTCTGAATGCCGTTCGTATGTTGGCCAGCCTGGCATATGCCGCTGATGTTATCCGCTTGATATGTGCTGCAGGGGACAGGTCTGGCGTGATATCAACCCCCAAGTCTTTTTCCTTCTCTGACTCCTGAAGAATTTCCTCTCCCAGATGATACCTTGTATCTGGCCTCCTGCTCCCTACACCTATCTTCATTACATTACATTTGGTTGGGTTAAACTCTAACAACCATTTGTTCGACCATTCCTTCAGCTTGTCTAGGTCTTCTTGTATGTATGTATGTATGTATGTATGTATACACACATGTTGACCAGACCACACACTAGAAGGTGAAGGGATGACGACGTTTTCGTTCGTCCTGGATCTTTCTCAAGTCGATTGTGTCCAAGTCGAAGACCATTCTCAAGTCACAATCGACTTGAGAATGGTCCAGGATGGACCGAAACGTTGTCGTCCCTTCACCTTCTAGTGTGGTCTGGTCAACATTCTTCAGCCACGTTATTGTGACTCATTGCCTGCAGTTATACATATACGTATCTGCATATTTTGTTCACCATAACGAACCACTAAGTTGATATTGCGAGTCAAAAAGCAGCGAGGTGTGGCCACCACATCTGCCAGTCAGCCTCTCACCGCCACTCCCTCCCTCAATGACTCCTCACTTGCCCACATCCTCCTCCCACCATACTGTTTTTGCTTTTATTCACTATATACAGACGTTATATATAAGTATCTACATGTTCTGTTCATCTAAGCTTGTATAGTGCCCAAAGAGCATAGTGGCCACCCTACCTAGTATGACAAATCATGCAGATGTTGCCACCTCCCTCACCAAAATGGCTTCTCCCCACACTCCTTTTGCTGTTATTACACTATATACACACGTTATATATAAGTATCTACATTTGTGTTCATCATAATGAACCACTAAGTTGGTATACTGAGTGGCAGTGGCAGCCCGCCACTGGCTGTCACTCCCTCACCTCACTTGACTCGTCGCCACCATTCTCCTCCCACCATACTGTTTTTGCTTTTAGTCACTATATGCAGATGTTATATACAAGTCTCTGCATGTTTTATTCACCATAGCAAACAACTAAGCTGCTATAGTGAGTCCAGACAGTAAAAGGTGGTCACACAGTAAGCAGACAACACTACCTCCCTCCCTCCCCACCAAGATTACTCCTCCCACTACAGCGCTAATTATCACAACAATCCTGCTATTATCAGAATAATAGCATGTACATATATATTATGGCATTTTCAGGTGATGCTGTGGTCACAAGCTAGTCAGCAGTGCTGTGAGCTCATGCTACGTGCACCAGCCTTGGTGGCTCACTCAGTACTGAGGACCTCACACCCGGGAATGTTGCCCACGAATTTTTTTTTAAATGGCGTCTGTTTACAAGAGCCCTGATGAAGGTGAGGTGAACCCTGTGTATCCACGGGCCGTTTAAATCTTGTGTAGTACCCCAATACGTCACATGACGTGATGCGCACTTTTGGTTAAGTTACTCAACACGTCACATGACGTGTTGCGCAGTTTAAGGGTTAATGGAGCAGATGATAAGAGCGAAACAAAAATATGAATTTTTTACCTAGTCTTGTCTGCATAAAATAAGGATTTAAAAAAAAAAGTTCCAGAGAATTGCAGCCAAAGAGTTAAATAGCAGGATTGAATTCAGGATCAGTTCTTATGCTTTTTTCCATTTACTTTAACAAATAGGTTTCAGATAATGGCCAGCTGCAACATTTAAAACAGTGTAACATTACAAAATATGACCCCAATTTTGCCTACAATACCTTCTATTTCTGTAGAGTTGAGCCTATTATGTGGGTACATCTGTTGCCTGGGTGACAGTTGGAGAGAGCTGGGCTGTGGTGGTGGCAGTGGTGAGTGTCCATCTAAATGTTGTGATGAAGGAGACTCCAAGAAAAGCCGAGGAGGCTTTGGAGGACCTGACGTGTCTGCATGCACAAGTGTATCATCAGAAGCAGTTGACTCAGCATAGGAGTCATCACTCTCCAAATATTCAGACTCAGATTCTGCGGGATATCTACGGGTTTCTGAAAGGATAACACCAAAACACAGCTATCAAACCTGATTCCAGATTTTTTTTTTTTAAATATCTTTAATCCCACAATATATTATAAAGACAAATGTACAGGCCACATCCAAACCTATGAAGTTCAAACCAACACATTAAACACATTGAGTTCTATTAATTAACATGATTTGCACAGCATTAAAGCCAACTCAGGTTTTCCTGGCAATGCCAGGCATCATTACTAAATATGTTTTCCTAACCTTGTCATTAAATAATGTTTTTATGTAATACTGCATAGACCTGCAGTTAGGTAGCAAGATCTCATACACAGGTCGGGCCATTACCCCACATTGGCCAAAAGCCATATGAGATTAAATTAGTGTTCCTGAAAAGCAGCTCTCATGTTAAGTACCTTGTAACCTATTACACAACCAGCTATATATGTATAAATGTTGCTCACCAAACTGTACTTACAGGAAGCAAGATTAATAATAATATAAATAGCTATTGTACCATGTGCAGTTATACCTGTTGCTTCCATCACTTGATTCAAGTTCATTCAACTTACATTACCTGTAACCACTTGCTGCATGCAAGCATTATCTTACACTTCCCTGGGCATCTACAGTATTTCAATCTTCTACCTATTTCTATCCACTATGTTTTCCTCAGAATCTTATACATTGTGATCACGTTATCTATTGCCATCTCTTCTAATGTCGTTAATTTTAGTTCACTAAATCAGTCCTTAATATCTTTTTGGTGTGTAGCCAGATGTAGATTCTATATTTGAGCTGCACACTCCAGGCCAAGTCTAACACGTCTTGCTATAATATTCTGGAGGATTCCTTGCTCAGACTCTTGGAAGCCATTCTTATGTTAACTAGTCATGAATATGAAGTTGATATTCTGTTACACACATCTTTTCCAATTACCTGATTTACCTAACTAACCAGTTCCACTATGGGTGGGCGGGAGGTGCTTACTTGTGCCACAAAATGCAAATAAGAGCTGGTGAGGAAGTTGGGTGTTACACAAATTTATTAATTAATTTAAATGTTTACAAGTACAATAGGCTTTTGCAACAATTTTAGTGCAAAAACACAGAATAAATCTTGGTATCTAAACAGAAGTTGGAGGGGAGGAGGGGGGTCAGCAAAGAGTTATATCATGCTAAGCACTCATGCAGGAGGGTGGGAGGCAAACATTACGAAAAGAAGTAACAACTACTCGCCCACCTTTCCAGGATGACAAATGAGATCTGATAAGGAATGACTTACCTGCCAACTTGCTTTATCTGCCTACCTACCTGGCTAGTTGTTTATGTAGCTTGGTTCTGATGGAAGGGGCAAGCAGCAGCTTTCAGCTGCTTCTTAATTCTGTTCATACAGTACTGTACAATACAGTACTCATAACTATCTAATTTATGCACAAATTCAATCACAAACATAACTGATGTTTTATTACCTTACAATTATGCATATTACTCATATAAAACTTAAAAAAGTGGAACACTTTGAGTGTGGAACATAACATAGCTTTTAACATGGCAGCCAATGGGACAAAATTTTTGTTTACAAAATATTTGATAATCGAATACGTTTCAGGAATGAATCTCATTTGTTAAGTGAGGAGGTTCACCTGTATTCTTATCCTCAAACAATATCAGCCAATCCAAACAAGATTCAGGAATAACGATAGTCGGATTAATGAAGTCTGTCTGTACATATTATCTAATTTGCGTTTAATCAAATTATTATTATTCTTGGAATTAATCAAATGTTTCCCATACAATAATTGACAAAAACCTACAATATGTTTTGAGGAAAGAACATATAGAATCAGGAGTGGCCTGTACATAGAATTTGAGGCTGTGCAAATGAAATTGTATATCAGTATTGATATAGCTATTAGGAATAAGAATGAAAGTAGTGAAAAAATGCAGATGTTATGCAGTATCTTACGAGTCACTTCATATTTTGGTGCAGTGGGATGTTTGGCCGTGGAACTCTGCTTGGGTTTCTTGAATCTGTTTAACAATACTTCCATCTCCTTCTGACGCTCTGTCTTGACTTTGTTGTGGATCTCATTCCCACGCCAATTATCTTTAACCATTTTAAAAACATTCCTCTGTGATTCAAATGAGTTTGAATCATCTATGCCAGGTGATTGTGACTTGTTGCCTGTTATGAATACAAGAGTTTAACTTTTTATTTTTGAACATACATTAGTGTAAAGGATATTATATATTAGGTTTGACTGTGCTGTATTTGCAAAATTTTAAGCCACTTCCAATCCTAAGGAGGACGAGTTTTTTGACATTCAGTACTTATTTCGTACAAAGTTTGGATCTAAATTTTGAGCTACACGCTTAAGCTGAACTATCCCATTCAAAATTGTTCTTAACACAATATATGTATAGTCTATGCTGGAAGATAGTGCCATGAATGATGTCATGAGTTATGACTTAAAAACATGCTCCCCATTATTACAATATGGTGTTGGAATTGCCATTTTCAGTATAATTACTTTTCAGCACAAATTTTTTAACATGTACATATCAAAATTTTAAATGTTTATATTTCCTTTCATAACCAATCAAAATATTTGAAGAATTAATAAGCTTTCCTTATGCCAACGTGTTCCAATTACAAACAAATTTGGATATTATTAAAATGATAACTGCCTATAACTTATCTCTTACAATACTAGTACAGTAATGTATTACAAGTGATTGCTATGTACACTCTGTAATATATAACAAATCACTGGAAATAGAAACCTACCAGAACATTAGATGATAGCCAATGTACAGCAGTACTAATATAACACAAAAGACAGGAGGCAGTGAACTATGGGCCAGTAACCTTTACACGTATACTGTGTAAGGTGATGGAAAGGACCATACGAGGCTAGTAGAACAGCTTGAGAAGAACATTTATGCTATCACCAGCATGGGTATACTAACAAAATTTTGCCTCACAAACTTGATAGGATTTTATGACCAGACAATAGAGATCAGACAAGACATATAACATGCAAAGGACTATCAGAGAGCTGTCTCACAGTACAGTACAGTACTCCACATAAGACTAGTGCACACCTTGAGACTAGACTAGCCATAACTAAGTTGAAATAATCTGTTAATTTGCATACTAGAGTGCCGGTGATTAATTAACGACAATAAGATGTATGATTTTGCTGGTGTGCCAGTTTTAGTTCTCTGTGAGGCCATTCAGTACAGAAGAAATGAATGGTGTGAAGAATATTTTCCCAAGACTACACAAGTGTTACTATGGTATTAATATGATCAAAACAAACAAACTATTTTTGTAATTTACCTCTTTGGATTTGATGTAACTTTTCAGTAATGGCTGGGGATGGCTCTAGTGCCAGCTTTTTTGTTGGCTTGTAAACTGGCTGTGAGTGAGCCACCGAGGATTTACTCGAGTTCTCGCGGCCTCCACTGGCTTGGTCACCATGAAGGGCCTAAATGAACAATTAGTTTAAAAATAATTTAAGATTAATTTACCTAATTTATATTAAATGTTAAACATTATTTAATCTTACTGTAAATGGATAATCATTACACTTATATTTATTAGACAATATCCAATCCTCTACCATCACCCAAGTAAGGTACAAACCTTAAACCTCTTCCTGAATTCTGATCATTTTTCTCAATTAATTTTTTAAATAAAGTTGATATTAGTATAATATAATGTACATCAATAGAAATTAACCACTGTGATGCGCCACATTTATTGTGACATTCTTAATGTGCGCCGAAAATAAGGTGCTCCAAAAACAGTATTTGCTCTTTTAGTATTATTAATTAACACCCAGGAGGCACAAAAGTTCAAGTACAAAGTATCTATCATAGTTTAGCCGTTGTTGCCTGAGAAGTTGTGGAGGTGGTGAGATCGTGCCTTGCTCACCTTAAACACTTTCATATCTGCACCATTAGTTCAGATTTTCCTTAAAACATTTCACTGCCTCTGTTAAGTGGCAGCCAGTCAGAACCAAGTCAGTCAGTCAAGCATTCACAGTCAAGACCAGTCACAGGCAGTCAAGCATTCACAATTGTGGTAGAAACCGGTTAGGCATTTACAGTCAGTAAACAACGAGAATTTAATGTTGTGCAGTCTGCCTCATGATCCACCAGCTGGTAGCAACAAAGCCTGTATTTATACCATCCAGATGTGACTGGGAGGGTACACCTGGGGGGAGGGGGGGCTCTGGTGTGGGGGATGGAAGTAGCGGGAAGGGGCTTGTGGCGGGATAGGGAATGAACATAACGGGGAAGGTCGAGTGGCGGTATGGGGGTACCGGTGATGGCGCGGTGTGGGGGACGGAGGTTCACCCCACCATCCATCCAGTCCCCTCACCACCCATCCACTCAGTCCCCTCACCACCCATCCATCCAGTCCCCTTCCACCATACAGCCATCAACCCCCCCCCAATCCATCCATCTATCCAATTTTACCACCATCCATCCAGTCCCCCCTCACCATCCTGGGACCCATGGCATAATATATAATACAAACTTTTCTGTTCAGAAAACAAAAAATAATGAAATTTTTTACAAAAAATTCAAGATCGGTTGTGACTACGAGGGATAGACTTGTAAACAGAGTGCCTTGCCCTGGTCCCCCAGCCCCACGTGCTCGTTCGACACATAAGTATACAAACAGACATCATCTTCCACGTAAACCATTGTGAACCAATTCAAATTTTACGGCAAATTTGACGCAGTGTTGCAAAAAATTTGTCTTCTAGGGCAGTCATCAACAGAGGTTCCACTGTATATATAAGCCTAAATCATGTAATTGGACACAGCACACATTTTGCCTGAAAAATATAATGATAATCATTCACTTGCTGCTGTTAAACTTCCAGTGGCTCATAGTATGGCTGCCCTACACGTTCCTAAAGCCATAGCCTTAGGATCATTTCATAGGCCTAAGTAACCTAGAATACGTTACTAAGTCCATGAAAGAAAAGTGAAAGTGGGTTTTTCAAGATTGGGGATAGTTACTTGAGGTCTGAGGAAGCTAATGTGTGCCCCCTTATATGCATGGGATTTTTTTTATTCTAATGATATACAGTACTAATATCATCATATGTTGGCTGCCGCATATTTGGGCACGCGAGTTTTCTCGGCCAGCGCAGCACAGTGGTAAGGGGCATATCTTCAAAATCTAAAATTTATGGAAACATTTTTCTTAAATGACACAAATTGTAGGTGAATGCTTCCTAAATTTTAAACATTAAATTATTATACAAATTAGCTAACCACATATTCAAAAAAATTAAACACCTCAATACTTATTTCCACTGAAACCGGGACAATAACAAAGTTCATCAGCTGGGGAAAATAAATAGCATCCAGCATCACACACCTTCAAATGACAAAAAACCACTGTCCATTTTCTGGGTGAGCCCCGGATGCTCCCTGGAGCTATAGGACTGATATGCACTATATTAGTCTGGGGCTTCAGCCAATGCAGTACTGCCTACTGGGGACCAGAGTCAGAACCAGGTCCCCTCAGAGAGGAACAGGGAGCAATGGCTTAAGGAGACCCCCTTGTATTTGGGGGTATTTCTTGCCTGCCATCGACCAGGATTAGGCACCCAGAAAGGTAGGCATCTCAAAACAAACCCCACATGGTAGAAATTGTGAAAACCCAAGACCGAACAGAGAAATAGAACTTCTCAAAAGAAAAAAAGGAAAACTATCAAACAAGCAATTGTCATTCACTGTCACCGCACAGCCCTCCCCTCCCCAGGAGGGGTAACGGGGAGCCCCGGACCCACATGCTGGACCCCTCACACCTCAGTTTGGAGGTTGAGCATCAAAAACGAAACTGCCGACCAGAGGGAGGGAGGGAGGGTGCCAGGGAGCTTCTGAGGCTCACCCAGAAAATGTCGTTTCATTACGTACAATGCTGGTTTTCTGTGGGAAAGCTCTTCCAGCTCCTTGGAACTACATAACCACAGATAAGTAAAAAGAGGGACTTGCCCGGGAGGCAGCCACGTCGTGAGGATCAACTCGAAGCAAGACAACTGGCTGCAACCTGCAACCCAAAGTCACACACGAAAGACTGGGACAAAGAATATTTACCAAATAACGGGCGACCAGGACCCTGTTTGACCTCCAAAACCCCCGAGCCCGAATGTCAGTCCAGGAAATGTTGCCAAACACAGCAGTCAAGGCAGCATACTTATGAACATCAGGGGCACAAGGGTAGACTGCAGGCTGGCTACACTTAATAACCCTGCGGACGACCTGAAACCCGAGCCCTGGAACAGGGAATAAGGGAAATCAGAAGAACCCAAAGCACATCCACAGTCACAGAGGCCAAGACGCGCAAATAACGGCGCAGCCGCAACTAAACAACACATGATGCACCCACGGCCTGACCAACCAAGCATCAATAACAAATGGACCCCTCCGGAAGCCTGCCACCTCGTTCTTCGCCAGAAAAGAAGATGGGTGCAACTGAACAAAACGTCCACCACAACCAAAGGAGCAGAAATTTGTGCGCCAGAGGAGAGCATGAAGCTCACCGACCCGACCACCAGAGGCCAATGCCAACAGAAACAAAGCCTTCTGGAGGCAATCTCAAACCAAACGGGACACCATAAAATGAGAAAAGAAAGTACCCTGTCCAAGGACCAGGACGGCTCAGGCAGCGCATGAGCAGGCCGGAGGTGAAACAAAGCATGAGAGCTTCTTGGGGTTATTCTTATGATATACTTGCCCGGCTCCACGATGACTGTGACTTGGGACAAAGTGGTCATCCAAAAGGAGGGACAAGGAATCCAATGGTTCAGACACGACAAGTTCAGATTGAAACGAAGATCCGCACAATCCCATTTCGGTACTGGAAGCAGGCGGGAAACCAATCTGAGGGACGAACCCGGTTCAACCACGCCCAAGTGTACCCACTCCAAGATGACCCGACAGAGCGAGGGAGAAGAAGCCTGCCCGGCAAGCCCCAACGGGGTATGAGCAGTCCAATGACACCACAAGCCGGAGGACATGACCCAAATTGCCCACGAATCGTAGGACCAAGCCCGGAACCTGGAACCAAACTTGGGGAGGAGCTGATCCCAAATCAAACTTGTACTGGGAAGGTGAGTAAGAAAACCCCCTCGCCCTGTAACAACAACCCTGTGATGAGGGCGCCAAAATCCAGGCAGGATCAAAGAGGGTTCCAAGCCTTCCCTGGGTGATTCCTCCCCCAGGGAATCCCCCCTCCTTAACATGGAGGCTCCCAGGGGGGAGGGCCTGGGAGCCTCCACGTTAGGCTCCGGAGCAGAGCTGTCCTCCATACCCTCCACCCCTGAAGAAAAGGCAGCAAAGAAGGGGGCCTGCTGGTCAGACCCAGAAGCCTCGGCAGCAGGAACAGGCTCAAATGCCTCCTCCGTCTTGAAAGGGGCGGCTCCCCAAAGCTGCCTGAATCTCATCACAAATCCCGCCCTGACTCCGAAACCCTTGGACGTTTGGGAGATGGGGGAAGGAGTAGGGCGAACCACGCCCACCGGGGAAGAACCTGAAGGTGCAGACGGAGTCAAGGTCGAAAAGTCCAACACCCCCAGGTCTGGGTCCCTAAAACCAAAACGGGGCAGCCCTAGGGCATTCGAGCAGGCAACAACCAAAACCTATGATACAACGTAGATGCCGCCTGACCTTTAAGAACTTCCGAAGAAGAATGGGTAAATATGCGTACGAGCTGTGAACATATCTCGCATGATTCTGGGTTGTAGGTGTCACTGACCCAACAGGCAGCATGACGGAGGCAAAACAGGTGACCATCACCCCGAGACAAGGGCAACGAACAACGTTCAAACTCTCACAAGCCAAGATGGGACTGAGAAGATTCATCCATGAGTCTGTCAAGCCCAACAGGGTATTCCAGGGCCAATAGGTTATTCAGCCTACAAGAAACCCAGGCAACGATGCTGCAAAGCCGGTTAAGCCCGAATGAGAATGTCAACAAAGGGAAACAGGGCTTTAACTGGATTTTAACTGGAAGGTGTACAAGCACAGGGGGAGGGGGGAAGGGGGCTAGACAAGGGCCACCAAAATACCTTAGGTGGACTAATAGTCAAACTAGGCAGCTCTCCTCCAAGCAAAAAGAAAAAGAAAACCCTCGCAAATGCACAACGACAATAGGAGGAACAGGGCACAGCCACTGCATAGTAGGCGCGCTGAGCAGCACCGTGTGCCCCAAACCAGCACCACCACCACTTCCTACCCAAGGCCAAACAAAGGCCACTAAACCCCAGCTGGCCCCAAAGGTGGGGCAACTGCTGAACAGAAGCAACCCCTACGGAAGTGAAGCCCGGGAGCACCAGGAAAGGCAACCCTAGAACCCAAGGGTAGTACTCACAGGGCACTTAGGAAAGGAAGCCCTAAGCACATGCAGTCCTCAGTACACTATAATACTCCTAGCCACTGTGACACAAACAGCAGGAAACACCACAAGAGCCCAAAATCCAGCAAGAAACTGAGACCAGAGCGACAGTTGCCTCCAGAGCGCTTCAGCCAAGAATTAAGATGTGAGGGGGCTGGCGTGTGGGTCTGGGGCTCACCCCTCCACCTCCTGGAGAGGGGAGGGCTGTGCAGTGGCAGTGAATGACAACTGGTTGTTTGCTAGTTTCCTTTGTTTTCCTTTTGGGGAGTTCAATTTCTCTATTCTTTCTTGGGTTTTTACAATGTCTACCATCTGGGGTTTGTTTTGAGATGCCTTTCTTTCTGGGTGCCTAACCCCAGTCAATGGCAGGCGAGGAATACTCCCAAATATAAATGAGGGGTCTCCTTAAACCACTGCTCCCTGTGCCTCTCCAAGGGGGCCAGGTTTCAGTCCTGGTACCTAGTAGGCAGGTAGGTCTCCATTGACTTTAGCAACTGATTAATATAGTACATATCAGTCCTGTATCTCCAGGGAGCTGGAGGGGCTCATCACATTATAGGTCAATAAGCCTCTTACAACCCAACCTGGAACAGAAATTGGTCAAATACTGGTACAGATTATTTTTTGGAGCATGGACACTATTTACAGGATTTTTCATCACTGAGGAAAAGTTGAAGGCAGTGTTAGCACAATTATTCCATAACTAAACCACCAATAAGTTAATACCTAATAAGAATACAGTGTATGATGTCTACCCAAATTCCTCCAAACCTCCTCTTTTCTTCCTACCCTCAAATTCAAAGGTATTCACTCTTCAAACTTCCATCATCCATTCATAAACATTCAATCCATCTACATATTTTAATCAATTACCTTTTCCATGATACTTCAATGATTATTTTTTATTTCCCCTAACTAAATTCTTTAGCATTTACAACAAAAATGCTGGAAAACTGGAATTGTATACAAAAAATAATGAGGATATTAACACTGTTGCTCTGGCCTCTCTGCACTTGCCTGAGCAAAAATATTCTGGGCTCCACAAGCTTCTCAGCGATGCAAAATTGATTTACAATCATTTTACATTTTGTTTACTTTGGTTATAGCTATAAATTTGGTGTCAAATTTTTTGTAAATAAACTGCCTACATAACAGATGCAAAAGTAAGTTATTTATAAGACAAGCTAAAATAAATACCAACTTTGGCAAATTTCCACAACTTAATTTTGTGGTAATTTCCCGTGACTTTTCAAGATTTTCCATGACCATAGGAACCTTGTTAGTGTGCACTACTCAAAATGGTTAGATTCTTGCACTCTTAGATATCTCAATGATATTCTTATTCCTTACTATATCTTTGACAACACCCCAAGCTTCTCAGAATGTCACTACAGAACCTATGCCAGTAATTTTCCCCTCTCCCCATCCAGAAGGGTAAATATAACCTAATACAATACTTTAAAATCATGCAGGATCTTCACCAATAAATACATTCTGATTATTTTTAAACTATTCATTATTTTTAAATATATATGCAAATGCCCACTAAATTACATGCTGTAATTTCAAAATATACTAATCACCAGAGGTAGAGGAATACATTATAGTACTTATGTGACATCATACTTGACCACATATACCCAACATGAAGTCATGTACTGTACCAACATAATAATAGTTTACAACCTTCTAAATTTACCTTTAAAGACACAGGGAGGCCAAAAGGAGCTTTGGGAACAAGTACTGCTCCTTGCTTCTTACTAAACAGAGCGAGGCGTTCTTGCACACTCATTTCGGCAGGATCCTTTGGTGACTCTCGCCCACCTGTAAGTAAAACAGCTATGTTATTTTGATTATTATGTGTGTTATATGTGAGTGAGTGTTTTTTATTTTATTAATATTCAGTCTAACAGATTGGTATAAATAGATCCACATTACAGGATTAAATGAGTTAGTTATCCAATTTCTGTATATTTATTATTTACATCAATAAACTTGATAACAATAATTTAGCTACACAGGATCCATTAACTTAAAAAGGTTCTTAGGGTGCAACCAAAAACTGGGTTGCCAAGGCATAATTAGTGGGTCACAGAGACACTAGTGACTATCCAAACTATCACTTTTAATACAACAATAGCTGAGGCAAGAGGTGTGCATGCATCAACTCGCAAGACTTATGGTGTAGCCTGTCTTCAGTAACATTCCAATTTAAGAGAGGTTGTTGAAATAGTCCAAAGCCAGGGTACTCAGTGAGACATCACTCGCAGCTCTTTTAACACATTTGCTTATGCCATCATGTATTTGTATTAGACCAGTTCTATAAAATTTTCAATATTATTATTAGTTTATTTTAGCATACAGTTAACTCCTGGCTCGACGTGGGGAAACATTTCTTAAGACCACATGCAAAGTCCAACCATAACAAATTTTAAATACTATCTTATGCAATAAAATATGATTTGGAGTTAGCATAAAAAGAGTTTTTTCTGAGCTGAATTATTTGACTGCTCCCACAAGCAAGATCTCACAGTGCCCTTAGACAGCTCATGCAAACAGCATGCACAGCATAACTAGGCGAGTACAGGAGGCGGCATCATGCATCATGGTGTTGTAAGGGCTTTTCAAGCAATCATGTAGGGTTACACTGACAATATTTCTGAAGAAATAATTAGCCCACACTAGACATGAACATCAGGGGTCAAATTCATGTCCTCACTTGGCAAAACTGACAATTACAAAACAAAATTTCTCCCAAACTACTGCTTAGAGACTACAAAAGATAACTGAATGATCCAACACATTAACCCCTGCACAGCACACCTGTTTTTGGCAAAAACTGCATAGTGCAATTGTTAAGGACATATTTTTGTTGTTTTTATAAATGTTTAGGTAAAGTTAATGTCAAAATGTTTCCAAACTCAAGTATTTTCATTTCAAAACACAAAGAGTGATGAAAACATTAAAAAAAATTAAAATATAGACAAATTAAAAAACAAATCAGACAACTTTCAAAACAGCATTTGTCGTTTAGCACAGTGCAGTGGTTAAAAAGTTTTTTCATATACCAGAAACTCAAGTCAATGGACCTGGTTCATTTCCATTGGCAGTGGGATAGGAAATACCATACTGGGAATGAGGGAAATAATAGGGAACTCATTAAGCACATGTAATAACAAATTGTGTAGTATGTAAATTGTATGGGGCTGGACTACCTTTGAAATAACTGATTTATTGGCTGGAGCATGGGAAATACACACAAGGTGAAATCTTTTTGCATATAGGTTCTGGTAAATATCATTTACATGACACATTGAAATAAAAAATTTCTTAAGTCAAATTTATACTCATTCGGAGAAGTAGTTGGTGCCAGTAATAGCCAGATACAAATGATCTTACCCTTTCTAAGTTATTTACACTGAATCAAAATATAATTTAAATTCTTGTACGACAAAGCATAGAAATGGGGTGAAAAATCCCAGCATGCAGAGCAAGGAGTCAATTGTATATATTACTTTATTACAACTGAATTACTAGAAGGCATGAGTTGCTGAGCTAGATCCACAACCAGCATTTGCCCCAGCCAAAATAGGTTAAGTAACAATATTTTAAATAAATTTTTTTATATATAAAATTTGGCAACTTTCAATAAAATTACTGAATAGTAACATTGGAAAAAACTATTTACTCACCAGCATTATTAAAGGCAGCTGCCCTTTCCTTTACAGATGACATGAAAGGCTCATTAACTAGTGGTGTAGCCTCTGGCATGGGAGCTTCTCCCTTTACAATATCACCAACTGGAGGAGGCTTGCTAGGACTTGATTCACGCCAGCTTTTACGTTGAGGGCTAATATGGTTCAAATCCCGCCAACTTTTACGTTGAGAGCTAACGTTACTGAGTTCACCCTGGCTTTGTGGTAAATACCTGATAATAACAAGAATTATTTGACCATCTAACAAAATTTAACATCAACGAAATAAGCACAAATAAAAATTATAGAAAAGTCTGAATATAACAGCTTTCACTTGCTCACTAACTAAAAATTGTGCAGACAGTTGTTGTTTATGATAAAATAGATACCCATGTCACTGATCCCTTGTTCCTCCTAAATGTTCAGTAGAGTACATTAAAACATTTCGTCCACAAGGGATATACAAACTGAAAAAGTACTTTTAACAGCTGCTTAAGAACTACACATGCTGATTTACTCATCACATTAGCAATGCAAATGTCTTTTGCTTGTACTGTACTGAAAATAAATGATTTGAGAGAGACAAGCTTTTCTAAACAAGTATACCAAAATAAATATTAAGGAAAATATAAAATAGTGAAAGGGCACAATGCAGGTGGAAAGAGCACTGTACAGGTCAAAACATATGTTGCTTGTGAGTATAACCAATCATGAATCAGTGTAGAATGGATAACTTGTTTACCTGGCCAACAGTTGTACCTCTAATGGTCATCACTGACAATTCATTTCTATAAACTAAAAATTATCCTTAAGTATTTTTAATAAAGAATATTTAAAAGAATATTGAACACAGCATACAGCAAGGGAGTGCCAATGGGTAAGATCTCGCGTTTAGGCCTACATATCAATGTCTACTGGAAACGAGATCTGGCACATGGACATCGACTGATTGATTGTAACTTTTAATCTGTGTTCTAATTCACTATCATAATTGTTCTCTATACTGTGGATGATGATATCCATAACACAAAAATTTTCATATATCGTCCTAATTCATTTACATTTTTAACTTCCATCCATGTGCATTTTGCTTCTTAAATTTTTTTTAACTTACTTGTGAGGGCTTTGGGGTCGAACAGGACTCCTGCCTCTTAAGGGGCTGGTTGATGCAAGAGGCTCAATCTTCTTAGGGCTTATTTCATTTATACGGTTCCCACTTTGAAAGGAGGTAATCTTCTTGGGGCTCACTGGCCCTGAAACAGACTTTCCAGGACTCCGAGAACGATGTGTTCGCTCAGGTGAGGCCTGGCGAATATGCTCCTCCCACCGATTTCGCATCTCTCCTACTTTGGATGGGCTTGTATCTCTTGTACGCTCCTTAAACAAAAACAAAAATTTGTTCTAAGTCCCTTATTTAAATTTGTAATGGAAAAATAATTGTTAGAAATCATAAATAAAAAATCTAATATTTGTTTATTAAAGTACAATAGATGATGAATAAAATTTGTTAATCTTTTAATAGCTAGGTATATTTAATTATCGCATTAGGACAAATAAAGGTAGGCAACAAATGTCCATGAAAAAATGTGACATGCTTTTATACTGTACAGGTATATGTAATTGGATATAATCAAAACACACGAAACAAATATTGAATATGATACCATATACCAGTAATGTAACATCTTTATAGAATAAATTGAGAAAATGTATTGCTACTACTCTTACACAAATGTTCGCTGATTAAACAGAAACGAGGAAAAGTTGTCAGGATGCATGTACAGTATCTATGAAACTTATTTTTAAAACATACACTGAAGAGTGCAATCTCAATTATTGGCTATTCTATCATGACATTTGCAGTTTCTTCCAATTTTTCCATCACAACTACTATGTTGTTTATGGCTGTGTGGAATATATGAGTCAAGATGTTAAAAAGGGAAAGTTGAATGTGCAATACAAAAGATAAAAGGAAATTATAATAAAGTGGAATGGAGTAAATGTTATATGAACAACAGTGAAAGAAAATATGAGCAGGAAAGAATAAGCCAGTTAATAGATACAGTAGTGGTATGGAGCAATGAATAGTAACAACTGCATTAAGGGTGTTTGTGTTTGAATTTCATATATTACACATATTTCTTCCTCCTTCCCTTTTCCGTAAGTTATTTCAGTAATACTCTTCTCTTGTGGATGCATCCATACTTTCCTCTCTCGTTATTACTATCACAGAGAAGTACATTTCTTGGATTTCTTCTCCTATTTAACCAGCCCATCCTCTCAAATAATACACCATGATTTGACACCATAATCTTCAATGGACAAAATAATGAGCAAGGAGTGAGACAGGTAATTCTTTAAGTACTATACTTTCATAATTAATTAATACATCTTCGAGAGAATAAATATTAGAAGTCAATGGTGGTGAAAGCAGTGGTTAGTCAACACCACTGATTTGTAATATTTATCCTTCTGAAGATGCACTGATTAATACAAAAGTACTTAAGGAATTTCCAGTCTCATTTACTTCGTGGTCAGACTGTCACATTATTCATCATTGATTAATTTCTTCATGATTTACACACATAAGTACTATGAAAAGGAGTGGCTCACAACCACATATTTTATGTGGGTCAGTTTGAGAATTTTAGTAGCCCTTATTTTGTCTGTTGTGGCAGCTCAAGAAGATGGGCTAATTCACACAACACACAACAAATAGAATGAATTAAATGTTCTAAAATTTGTTATTACGTACTCTTGGCTTTATACTAGTCACTCTTCAATGTAAATCCCAGGTAATTAAATCTATAAACCAACATAACTCAGTCACCAAGACAACCAGATACAAACACACACCACTTATCTAGAACCCAACCTACTGAACAAAAAAAGCATTTTACACATACTTTTGTAGTCTAGATCTACACAACTCAAACTGTAATACTAGTATTAACTTATTTCTCCTTAAATATCTTTATATTGTAGCTAATTTATAATATTAAGCATTATCATAATCTTGTACGAAATAAGATATCTTCTCGTACCTTTGCAGGCAGGAGTTCAGGACTGGGCACGCGAGTAAGTTCCCGAGTTGGACTCTGGCATGGACTTTTAGGCAGACAAGACACAACAATAGGTGGTGCTGGTGGTGGTGATTTTGGTGGCTGCAAGCTGTTATTAGAAGTCTGTGGTACAAGAGCCATAGAAAGCTGTGATGCAAGCAAGCAACTGGAAGCAGTATTTTGTTTCTCTGTTCCTGAACTTTTCAATTTATCTGGACTGGAACTTCTCACAAATTCTGCAAGACTCATGCCTTTCACCTTAGAGGGACTTACTGGTTGTTGGATTTTCTCCTGAGGAGCTGATACTTTAACTGGACTAGAGCAATTGCTCTGATCATGATTTTCTCGCTTGAAGTCATAATGAAGCCTAGATTTAGACGCAGTTGGAGTAAAGCCCTGTGCTTCCTGTGGGAAAAAATAAAGTTTTAATTAATTTCACTTTCAAAACAATGAAAGAAAATATATAAATTACATCACCCAAAATGTATTATAAAATATGGTCATAAGTATAATCACATCTTATATTTACTGCAAATAGTTTAAAACATACTTACCAAAACAACTTGCAAATCATCATTAAAATTCATCTGCAAAAGGTTAGATTACATATTAAGCATGCAATTTGCATTGAAAAAGTGTAAGGTATTAAAAGCAACCAAGTACCATGCAATGTTAAATAACAGTAGAAATGGCAGCTAATAAGTGTATCTGTCATTTTAAATAACACCAATGTCAGATAAACTTACCAATGAATTAAGCATGCCTTTGTCCCAGACAAGCTTTTTTGTGGGTGAGGCAGGAGGAGTCTCAGTCTGATGCAAAGCTGTCTTGTCTCTTGGCATCTCCAGCTTTGAGGGGTACTTGAAGTAATAAGGGGTAGCAGGGTAGGAAGAGGAGGAGCAAGAGGAAGTAGGAGTGTTGGAGGAATTCATGCTCAGGTTAGAAGTACCCAGAGACTCACCGCCACCACTATTAATATCCATACCTGAAGGACCGCCACCAAAATAGTACTTTTGAGGAAAATGGTCAAATCTTAGAGCTGAAGGATGGCAAGGACTCAATGAACCATTAGTCTTTATAGCTGATCTACCTTCTGCTTTCATTAAAGATGAAATCTGAGGAAATACTTTTGCACTAGTGTTAGAATCATCCAAATCCTGGGAATAGCCATGCACATCAGACGCTATGCTCCCCTCTACGTCTACCTGAGAGTTTTGATTGGAAGAAGTGGAGTGATAAGCGTAGTCATCCTCCCATTCTTTCATCTCCTGGCACCTCCGAGCTAGAGACTTTAAGCGAGGTCTGGATGGAGAGGTAGTAGTACCCTGCTCTTTTGCTTGTGAGGTCTCCGGCTGTAAACTCGCACTATGATCAAAATCCACAGTGCGCTTTGATAATACTTTGTTTGGGCTATTATCACTTCTTGCTGGATTTGAAGACAGTGTACTCCCAGACTCAGAAGCATCAAGATTACTGGTTCTTAGTGGAGTGGTAGTTGGTTTTGAATCATCTGTGAAAACCAACAAAAAATCTTGATTCTGAACTGTCACTTCAAAACATTACATCGAAAATAAACTTACATATGAACAATTTGCAAATTTTTACATTACCATCTTATACTGCAAATAGAAGAGCCCATTACCACTACTCAGCTAGGTAGAGCCTAGTCTTCTTGAAGTATATCTATCCTTACAACAACTCAAAACACTTACAACAATCACTATTATTCAACAACACTGGGTCAAGTTGCAGTTGATTACATAGAGTAAAAACTATGTCTAATACAATACTGTATATGAATTGTATGTACCTGTACTAGTACTATGCTGTTTATGTGCCAGGGTTACAAATGTATATCACTGCAACCAATTAAGAGTAATTTGCTAAATACAGTACTTTACACTTCAATACTTCTAGTTTAATTCTATTACAGTGGAACCTCGGTTCTCGTAGGCCCCTGTTCTTGTAGTTTTCGGTTCTCGTAGTAAATTACTAGATTCGGTTGCCCTATTTGCCTTAGGGGTCATAGTTTGTTTATATACGTACGGGGTCTACCGCGAACGTGGCGCCTCAGTTTACCAGTGTCTCCCGCCTAGTGATGATCATGTTTGAATTCTTTGTGAAGAATTTCATTGTTTTTGTGTTTTTTTTATTTCTGAATATAAAAGTTAATATATATCATACCATGGGTTCCAAGAAAGTCAGTGGTAATGTTCAACCTAAGAACATAGTTGTGAGGATGATGATAAGAGGAAAACAAGCGATCATTCATAGTGAGACTATGTGGTCTCACTACAGACAAGTGTTAAAACATAGGGAAAAACAAGTGTCTATAGATTCTTAGTAAGACAAGTAAGCAGTGAGCCATAACTAGATCCTAGTGGTATGCCTGCAAAACGTGAGAGAGAGAGTACCCCACAAATGTCATCACTGCTGTTATAATCGAAGGGACCACCTTTTCTAATCACTAACATCTCTCCTCCTCCTCCTCCCCCTTCCTCACTGTCTTCCATACGCCAACAAGAGTCCTCCATAAAAGTAAGGTACCTAAGAGTATTAATATGTATAAAATGTATTTCTTAGTTAATATTTTTGGGGGTGTGGAACGGATTAATTAAATTTACATTGTTTCCTACGGGAAAATTCGTTTCGGTTTTCGTACCGTCTCTGGGGAGTGGATTAACTACGAAAACAAAGGTACCACTGTATTAACATTTCACATTTGCAGAGCTCATTTTCCCAGCACACCAAGGTTAACCATAGTTAAGTGAGAAGACAAAATGCAGAACAGTAATATTAACACTACTGTAATTTTACATTTATTCAGTTGTTGTCCTCTTATTTGTTTACATGTAAAGTTTGCAAATGACTACTCTATAATAATGTACAATAAAAAAAGGCATAATAATTTGTTTTATTTCCATTTTAATAATGAAAGTTAATTTTACCTACCGAGTTTCAAGGCAGTCAATACAGAATGGCTTAAGAGCATTTTACATTTGGCATTTTCTTACGAATAAATGTTTAGCAGTTGCACTTCAGCATGCATCCAATTTTGCATGCCTTTGATGAACTAAGCATGAGCATGTAAGTGAAGCCCTGGACATCAATGTTTACCAACATTTCACATTTAATTAGTTAATGTAATTCTTTTAAAATTATTGTTCTAGTGTATAGCAAAAATAAAAGAATAGCATAATAATTTATGACATTTTCCATACTGATATTGGAATGTTTGTACAATACTCACTACCTTGCACTATATGAGAGCCTTAGCTGAGCCCACTGAAGCTTCCCAGCTGACTCACTCACAATGGAAACAAATGTATGTACAGGTAATGAGAAATTAGTTTTTGTTAAAATTCCACAATAGATGCCACAATATATAGCATCATTCTGGGAAATAAATTCAGTATTAAGTACTTTTCTGTGATTTTACCAAACATTTAAACAGGTTAATTTTACAGTCAGTGGAGCATCAATAAATATTATCCCCAATAGATTTTTCTAATTAAATATTTTTAATATTTGTTTTTTTTAAATTTAAGTTGAAATATAATAGCTAATTTAAAGTAACTGTAACCAGTGAATAACTAGCAATTGTACCGACCTGTGTATATAGAGTTAATTTGCTTGAGTCGAGTACGGGTAGCATCTGAAACTCCAACATTTTCCTTGTTGCTTGGGTTTCCTGCTGTTCGACCAATGGCTGCTCGACGAGCCTGGCTTCTTGCCATCATCCTCTGAAAATGTTTACAAAGATATTATAAGATATGCAAGTACAGTATAAAAAATATACAGTAATGCACTGAGAGGGTTATTACCGGCTGGTATAATATTGCTAAAGAATCTGGCAAAATTTTTAAACATAGTAATGGGAACAGTTCACAATCAACATTGCTCCTTTTTTTTTTGTTCTCATGGTGTGGGAAGGCCTGAAGGAAATAGGAGCACAAATTGAAAAAGAAGACATCAGAAAGAATAGATACATTACTCCACCCTCTTGACATAGCTTTTACACTAAACATGATGCAGTAACACACAGTAGTCAGCATTGGCACACTCCAGCCATACATCTATATCAGGACCCTACCATTTTATACAATCAGGTGTAAAGTGCTATCCATAACATCAATTAATACAGGCTGAACATTCACTTACTTAAAATTATTCCATCTAGTCTTGTTTCCTAACTCCTCTTATGCTGTTCACCCCTTAGTCTCTACTTCTCATTCATTCACCTTGTCTGTCTATCTTTGCTGGAATACATTCTCTTAACCACTATCATCCATTCATTCAGTACAGTGCATGTTAATAAAAAAAAAAGTCAAACTCTCCTCATTCTTAGTTTGTTTACTTTTGAACATGATCTATCTTCCATTAGCACCACAAAAGTAATATTATTTATTTCTATAACTCGACTATTTTTGTTCATGCCACAACCAGAGGCATCACCATTTTTTATACAGTCCTCATGTTGCCTCTCTTCCAATTATGGGCTTTTATTTCCTTTCTAGACTTAATTTGTGTATGCAACCTCATCTCTGGAAAACTACTCAACTGGTACTTAACCCTTTCTTTGTGAAAGTGTGATTCTTATGATTAATAATTCACTGCAAACAATGGATTTTCTCCAGTTTCACACCATAGTTGCATCACCGTTGCATACCTTCAGTTGCTTCACCGTAGCTGAGGTACAATCCAAATGGACTTTTAAAATCAGGCGCACTTTTACCAACAGAGCCACACAATTCAGACAAGGAGCAATGAACCATAATGTGACCATTGTAAGTGGTCACAATGGACCACTTACTCACAGTCAGCCTCCACCACATTACATACTTCCTAATGCATTCCATTTGTTAACTACTCCGACACTAAAAAAATTCTTTCTAATTTCTCTATGGCTCATTTGAGTACTCAATTTCCACCTGTGTCCCTTAGTGCATGTGCCCCTTGTATCAAACTGTCTTTATCTACCCCCTCCAACCTGGTCCTGGATCGTCCTAGTTTAGGGTCGTTAAGGTGCGAGGTTCTCTCTTTGTTGAGCACAGAGCTTAAGCACGGTTCATCTTGATGTTGTCATTAACATCATTGTGTCTTGCATGCCAGCCCAGCTTCCACAGTGCAGCCAATGTAGTCTACATTGTATTAGCAGGAGACCACTTGTATTCATTGTGAACTGAGGCACCAAGATGGTAGGCCACTGTTGTACATAGGGGTCTCTGGATCTAGACGTGTGCCTGATGCAAACATGGGTACTGCCAGAAGAGTCCTCTGCATGAGGACCACACCGTTCTGAGGTTGGCTTTCTCCTTATCTGATGTTGCAGCACTGAGCATGACATCACTCTGATGTTATAATTCTAATGCTGGTACAGGTTTTAATAATAACAATTCATTGTATTGAGGAACAGGCAGCCAGAGTATATTCATACATGTTAGGCTTATATCGAGGCCCCCCCAGGTCGAATTACTAGCCCCACCCAGGATGCAACCCCACAACAAGCTGACTCTTGAGTATCTACTTACTAAGTGAACAGTGTGATAGGAAATGCAACCAATCCTGTTCCACCCAGGATTCGAACCCGAATTCTGTATTGCGAGTCGAGAACAAACCGGGCTATACTACCGGGACCGTACAGTAGTTTTGAATACTATTGCAATGTTAGGGCCAATTTAGGTTAGTTTAGAGGATCATAAGCCCTCCCTGTCTCACCAATGGTTGCAATAGCTAATAGTTGTAAAGCAAGCTATATATTGCTAGATTAAATTATTTTATGAGAATTAATGAATGACGTGCAACAACTAGTACAAATTCTCAAACCCCATACACACCCAGGATAAGTTAATGCTAGGATGGATAAGGTTAGGTAGAAGTGTATTCTGTGTTTGGTTACTTAAGGTTAGGATTTAGACGATGGTACTGTGGTTTAGACGAAGTACTGTAACAAACTTAAAAGGTGATTAACATGAACACTTTTTGAATCGGTCTGCTTCAAAACCTGCACCTCATTTACAAAAAAAGAATGTATTTACGAAGTACACTAATTGTTCCATTATTCACACACGTCAGATTCGACGCTTTCCAGTTCTAACTGCCATTAAACTAAATAACAAGGGCGCTCCCACAGGTACCCTGCATGGCTCCAGACCCACGCGCCACTTACATGGCTTTTACTCACTTTTACAATGCATTCTACAAGTATACCTGCCAACACCTGTGCAAGAGAGCAATAAACACTTACCTGAACAAATGGATCAGCCATGGTGTGTGTATACAATAAAGAGAGAGCAGGAAACACGCCGCGGTCCTCCACCTGACACTCTGGGGAACAATTTTAAATCGAGTGTGGAGGCGGGCGCATGCGCGGGGCCCGCCACCCATGACAACAATAACACTGTTGCCACACTTCCTTCACTTACATATTATATTTCTAAAACCTATTGCGTTCCCAGTATTTTCCATAGACAGAAGTAATGACACTTTTACAAATATATTTGCCCTTCTTTTACATACATGCTAAAAGTATATTATGTGTTTATTTGTTGATAGTCATACACCATTTTCACTATTGTTTTATGGCAGTTGCAGTCTTGATTTGATATATAATTAAGGCCTGTAACCCCCTCCTGTAGGTGCCTATATACTTTTTCATCCATATAAAGCCAGTAGAAAGCAAAATATAGTCGTTTAGCGAGATGCAGACAGTACTATTTATATAACGTACAGTTTGGTTTAGTTCATGCATTATGCACCCCATACCCATCCCTTGGGCGACAATGGAAAGGGTGTGTTATACTGGGCTCAGGGACTCAACCCCAAAATTCATTTATCTAACTCAGCTACAGTCTTGATGGGCTTGTTACAAAACTTACTGTATATTGTTACATCAATAATGGGTTCGAGATCCACCTCCAGTACTTAGCTTGGAGTACAATCTCCAAGCAAAGCAACTTACATATGTGAAGAGGTAGTGTCATAAATGATATCCACTGATCTTGCCCCACCCACACCCCCATCCCTCTTGCAAATATTTAAATAAATAGGTTATTTATAACATATTTAAATAGCATAATAAATGCTATTATATTCTCTCTACTCTCGTGCACAATATTCTGACTGTATACAGATCTTCTGCTATTAGTTATAAAGAGGGCAGTATTCCCAGTAAATGGAAAGAAGCTATGATCATCCCTATCCCTAAAGCCAATGAAGAGTACAGACCTGTGTCTTTAACCTCGTGTTTGTTGGACTTTCACCATTTGGTCACCATTTGGTCCGGGAGACATCTCCCGTCACGCAGGGTGCAGTCGCGCCTCCACAGATCTCCAGTATCATCTTTTGATACTGGTAATGGCTCAAAAGGGCCACCACTTACGGGCTATTCATGCCCGTGCCACCTCTTGGGTGGCTTAATCTTCATCAATCAATCTCGTGTTTTTGTAAAATGATGGAGAGGATCATTTTAAATAGACTTTTATATATAATAGGTGATCAGCTGTCTAGTAATTTGTTCGGGTTCCTCAAAGGAAAAAGTACCTCTGATTGTATTATTAAATGTCTAGCTAATGAAAATGATTATTATAGAATTTTCATTGATTTACAAGGAGCTTTTGATAAAGCCAACAAAGAGGTTATTTTATATGAATTAGCTGGTCTTGGTGTTAAAGGGAGATTATTGCGCTGGATAGGGGATTATCTTTACGAAAGGAAGGCTCAGGTGTGGTATCAAGGTTGTATGTCAGGTGTGAGGTCTTTTGAACTCGGCTCACCTCAGGGAGGAGTGTTGAGTCCCACCCTGTTTAATGTACTAATGAATAAGATAACATCTGAGAGATACTCAAATGGGGTAACTCCGATCATATATGCCGATGATATTTTGTTTCAGGCCAAGGATATTTCAAAGGTTCAAACAGTGTTGGACAATTTCGGAAACCTGTGTCACCATATGGGACTGGTGGTTAATGAAAACAAAACTAAGTTTGAATGTAGAAGTCGGAGCCCCCATTGTATTGAAAATAAACGGTAAAAATATAGAGAGAGTTAATATATATAAATATTTAGGCATATATGTTGGATATAACCATGAGAGTTTGGAAGCTGAGATGAACAGACTGTTGGGTCAATGTCGGAAGAGATTACAACCTCTGAAGGCCTTGGCATGCTGTGGAAAACGAGTGGGAGTCCCTGTGCTACGAATGATATACTTGAGTACTGTAAGATCTCTTATTGATTATGCTGCACCTGTCATATCTTGTTTTGGTAAAGGTAGGATGGGCAAGTTGGAGAAGGTACAAAATGAAGCCATGAGAATTATCTTAGGATGCCCAAGAAATGCTGTGATTGAGATAATGAGGATGGAGTTGAATCTGCAGAGTATTGGGGATAGAATTGAAGAGATAAATGTAGCCTCTGCCATTAGATTAATGAGAGGTGGGGGAGCTAATGAATTAATCCTCTCGGTTCAAAAGGTGGGAAGTAGTGAACAGTGTATGATGAAGACAAAATCATAATACATAATATTTATTATTATTTGAAAAAATAATTTATTTGTATTGCACAATACATTAAAATTCCTTAACTGCGTCATTGTGGTTGTCCACCGGTTGGTTATGCATAGCTTGAGGATGTGTAGACCTGGGCATGGGGCTCACAACCGCTCACAGGAGGGTAAGGGGCTCACAGCCGCTCACAGGAGGGTAAGGGGCTCACAGCCGCTCACTGGAGGGTAAGGGGCTCACAACCGCTCACAGGAGGGTAAGGGGCTCACAGCCGCTCACAGGAGGGTAAGGGGCTCACAGCCGCTCACAGGAGGGTAAGGGGCTCACAGGAGGGTAAGGGGCTCACAGCCGCTCACAGGAGGGTAAGGGGCTCACAGCCGCTCACAGACAGATAAGGGGCTCACAGGAGGGTAAGGGGCTCACAGCCGTTCACAGGAGGGTAAGGGGCTCACAACCGCTCACAGGAGGGTATGGGGCTCACAGGAGGGTAAGGGGCTCACAACCGCTCACAGGAGGGTAAGGGGCTCACAGCCGCTCACAGAAAGATAAGGGGCTCACAGCCGCTCACAGGAGGGTAAGGGGCTCACAACCGCTCAATGGAGGGTATGGGGCTCACAGCCGCTCACAGGAGGGTAAGGGGCTCACAACCGCTCACAGGAGGGTATGGGGCTCACAGCCGCTTACAGGAGGGTAAGGGGCTCACAGCCGCTCACAGAAAGATAAGGGGCTCACAGGAGGGTAAGGGGCTCACAGCCGCTCACAGGAGGGTATGGGGCTCACAGCCGCTCACATGAGGGTAAGGGGCTCACAACCGCTCACAGGAGGGTATGGGGCTCACAGCCGCTCACAGGAGGGTAAGGGGCTCACAGGAGGGCATGGGGCTCACAGCCGCTCACAGGAGGGTAAGGGGCTCACAGCCGCTCACAGGAGGGTAAGGGGCTCACAACCGCTCACAGGAGGGTAAGGGGCTCACAGCCGCTCACAGGAGGGTAAGGGGCTCACAGCCGCTCACAAGAGGGTAAGGGGCTCACAGCCTCTCACAGGAGGGTAAGGGGCTCACAGCCGCTCACAGGAGGGTAAGCGGCTCACAGCCGCTCACAGGAGGGTAAGGGGCTCACAGCCGCTCACAGGAGGGTAAGGGGCTCACAGGAGGGTAAGGGGCTCACAGCCGCTCACAGGATGGTATGGGGCTCACAGCCGCTCACAGGAGAGTAAGGGGCTCACAGCCGCTCACAGGAGTGTAAGGGGCTCACAGGAGGGTAAGGGGCTCACAGCCGCTCACAGGAGGGTAAGGGGCTCACAGCCGCTCACAGGAGGATAAGGGGCTCACAGCCGCTCACAGGAGGGTAAGGGGCTCACAGGAGGGTAAGGGGTTCACAGCCGCTCACAGGAGGGTAAGGGGCTCACAGGAGGGTAAGGGGCTCACATGAGGGTAAGGGGCTCACAGCCGCTCACAGGAGGGTAAGGGGCCCACAGCCGCTCACAGGAGGGTAAGGGGCTCACAGGAGGGTAAGGGGCTCACAGCCGCTCACAGGAGGGTAAGGGGCTCACAGCCGCTCACAGGAGGTTAAGGGGCTCACAGGAGGGTAAGGGGTTCACAGCCGCTCACAGGAGGGTAAGGGTCTCACAGGAGGGTAAGGGGCTCACAGCCGCTCACAGGAGGGTAAGGGGCTCACAGGAGGGTAAGGGGCTCACAGGAGGGTAAGGGGCTCACAGGAGGGTAAGGGGCTCACAGGAGGGTAAGGGGCTCACAGGAGGGTGAGGGGCTCACAGGAGGGTAAGGGGCTCACAGGAGGGTAAGGGGCTCACAGGAGGGTAAGGGGCTCACAGGAGGGTAAGGGGCTCACAGGAGGGTAAGGGGCTCACAGGAGGGTAAGGGGCTCACAGGAGGGTAAGGGGCTCACAGGAGGGTAAGGGGCTCACAGCCGCTCACAGGAGGGTAAGGGACTCACAGCCGCTGACAGGAGGATAAGGGGCTCACAGGAGGGTAAGGGGCTCACAGGAGGGTAAGGGGCTCACAGCCGCTCACAGGAGGGTAAGGGGCTCACAGCCACTCACAGGAGGGTAAGGGGCTCACAGCCGCTCACAGGAGGGTAAGGGGCTCACAGCCGCTCACAGGAGGGTAAGGGGCTCACAACCGCTTACAGGAGGGTAAGGGGCTCACAACCGCTCACAGGAGGGTAAGGGGCTCACAACCGCTCACAGGAGGGTAAGGGGCTCACAGCCGTTCAAAGGAGGGTATGGGGCTCACAGCCGTTCAAAGGAGGGTAAGGGGCTCACAGGAGGGTAAGGGGCTCACAGCCGCTCACAGGAGGGTAAGGGGCTCACAGCCGCTCACAGGTGGGTAAGGGGCTCACAGCCGCTCACAGGAGGGTAAGGGGCTCACAGCCGCTCACAGGAGGGTAAGGGGCTTACAGGAGGGTAAGGGGCTCACAGCCGCTCACAGGAGGATAAGAGGCTCTCAGGAGGGTAAGGGGCTCACAGGAGGGTAAGGGGCTCACAGCCGCTCACAGGAGGGTAAGGGGCTCACAGCCGCTCACAGGAGGGTAAGGGGCTCACAGCCGCTCACAGGAGGGTAAGGGGTTCACAGCCACTCACAGGAGGGCAAGGGGCTCACAGCCGCTCACAGGAGGGAAAGGGGCTCACAGCCGCTCACAGGAGGGTAAGGGGCTCACAACCGCTCACAGGAGGGTAAGGGGCTCACAACCGCTCACAGGAGGGTAAGGGGCTCACAGCCGCTCACAGGAGGGTAAGGGGCTGACAGCCGTTCAAAGGAGGGTATGGGGCTCACAGCCGTTCAAAGGAGGGTAAGGGGCTCACAGCCGCTCACAGGAGGGTAAGGGGCTCACAGCCGCTCACAGGAGGGCAAGGGGCTCACAGCCACTCACAGGAGGGTAAGGGGCTCACAGCCGCTCACAGGAGGGTAAGGGGCTCACAGCCGCTCACAGGAGGGTAAGGGGCTCACAGCCGCTCACAGGAGGGTAAGGGGCTCACAGCCGTTCAAAGGAAGGTATGGGGCTCACAGCCGTTCAAAGGAGGGTAAGGGGCTCACAGGAGGGTAAGGGGCTCACAGCCGTTCAAAGGAGGGTATGGGGCTCTCGACTGCTCACAGGATGGCATGGGGTTCACAGGAGGGCATGGGGTTCACAGGAGGGCATGGGGTTCACAGGAGGGCATGGGGTTCACAGGAGGGCATGGGGTTCACAGGAGGGCATGGGGTTCACAGGAGGGCATGGGGTTCACAGGAGGGCATGGGGTTCACAGGAGGGCATGGGGTTCACAGGAGGGCATGGGGTTCACAGGAGGGCATGGGGTTCACAGGAGGGCATGGGGTTCACAGGAGGGCATGGGGTTCACAGGTGGGCATGGGGTTCACAGGAGGGCATGGGGTTCACAGGTGGGCATGGGGTTCACAGGAGGGCATGGGGTTCACAGGAGGGCATGGGGTTCACAGGTGGGCATGGGGTTCACAGGAGGGCATGGGGTTCACAGGAGGGCATGGGGTTCACAGGAGGGCATGGGGTTCACAGGAGGGCATGGGGTTCACAGGAGGGCATGGGGTTCACAGGAGGGCATGGGGTTCACAGGAAGATATAGGGTTCTCAGCCGTATGGTATGGTTCCTTCAGGCCTTTGTGAGTCAGTAATTGCTCTGCCGTTAGATCTGTATGTTTGCAATAATATAGTTTTGACAACAGAGACGGGATACCAAGGTCTGATTCAACCTCCTCCTTCTTACATGCGAATTTGGCTGCAATGTCTCTCATTATTTATGTCATAAATTATGATATAATTTGACAGTCGGTCATATATTATGATGGGACATAAATTATGATCCATCGTCATAAATTATGATAGAGTGTGTCTGGGAACACCTAGCGCATAGGTTCGAACCCTACTCGCGGCTCCTGTGGATTTGTTCATTGATATATCATGATAATGTGATTTCTCTGTGTATGGGTTATATTTATTAGCTCTCTGTACGAGACAGTGAAGAAATTTAGGGACTGTGAGTCACCTTTCACTTATTACAATAGTCGGCGGTCACTATTTGGGATTCGATTGTTGTTGTTGTTATAGAGTAAGCTACTCGGAACATGTTCCAAGTAGCACGGGCTATGGTGAGCCCGTAACTTACCTGGCACAGGAGCGGGGCAAGTAGCACGGGCTATGGTGAGCCCGTAACTTACCTGGCACAGGAGCGGGGCAAGTAGCACGGGCTATGGTGAGCCCGTAACTTACCTGGCACAGGAGCGGGGCAAGTAGCACGGGCTATGGTGAGCCAGTAGTGGACTTACCTGGCACAGGAGCGGGGCAAGTAGCACGGGCTATGGTGAGCCAGTAGTGGACTTACCTGGCACAGGAGCGGGGCAAGTAGCACGGGCTATGGTGAGCCAGTAGTGGACTTACCTGGCACAGGAGCGGGGCAAGTAGCACGGGGTATGGTGAGCCCGTAGTGGACTTACCTGGCACAGGAGCGGGGCAAGTAGCACGGGGTATGGTGAGCCCGTAGTGGACTTACTTGGCACAGGAGCCAAACACAGACAATATGTTTCATAGATATAGAGGGAAGTGACAGAGTTGTGTTGAGTGTAGCCAGTAGGCACCCGAGATGCTGGCCAAATAAACCGCTTATTCAGGTTCTCCATATATATTTTTATTTGTTTAAGCATAAAAATAGTGTTTTATTAATTAATATGTTAATTATGGAGATATTATTGACTTGAGGGGGGGGGGTGATTAGTAAGTATATGACAGATTTCTCTCATAAATTAATGCATTACATCTTAGAAAATAATAAAACATAAAAGATAACCTAGTGCAAATAATGTATAATTCTTCTTCTTAAATAATAATAATAAAATAATAATAATAATAATAATAAAATAATAATAATAATAATAATCAAAATAATAATAATAATAATAATTATTATTATTATTATTAATACAAATAATAAACCTAAAAGCACACATACACTACATACAGACATTTAGTCAACACGGAAAGCAAAATACAATGGTATAAATAGAACACGCATAAATTATAAAAAGGCAAATTCCATTTTTTCCTTATTAAGTGATTGATTACAATAAACTCTTCTACTTGCCTTTATATTGAGATCAAGTCGCCTGTCTCTACCTCACAGTACATTGCCAGCGTTAATAATTAACCTGTATAACATTATGAGCAAGGTAGTCTATTCTTTAATGCTAAAGTTACACTGATCATAGCCAACTGAAATATGATAAAATGAGGGCGTATCTATCATACTGCAATTGAAGACTTGTAATAAATGTCTATAACATTGGTATTCCATTAACAAAAAATTGATTAAGGATAACATTCATAAATTATTTATTCCGTCACAGTGGTCGTGTGACCACTTGTGGCGACTAATAGAAAATATGTGAAATTAAATCAAGTACTTGTTAAAAAAACAGCACTAATTATAATTTAAATTAAGTAAATAAATTTACGATATGGAACACATTCTGAATATTTGGGTGATCAACATCCAGCCCTCCCTTGACTATGGGGGAGACGTGGCCACGTGTGGCCCTCCCCTGGCTGGCTGAGGCAGGGAGGGTGGCCACGTGTGGCCCTCCCCTGGCTGGCTGAGGCAGGGAGGGCTCTGTGGGGTGTTCTGGTATAAGAACAGTAGCCTAACAAACACATTGCTCAAAACATGTGAGGTTATTTAATGATTGCATTCGTGTACTTACCAATTTCTCTTGCTAATTACCTTACTATGAAATGTTTAAAATCTTCACAAATACTAACAATTTCATCAAGTTTATTGACATTTTTATTTCAATGGAATAAGGAAAATAAGCAAGAACTGTGATGATACATTGATACTTCCCCAAGACAACATACTTTATATAAATCCCGTTGACGGGGACAGAAAGCCTGAACTTGGGTCTTAAGTACAATCTTATCGAGGTCGCCCCTAAGCCAAATGCCGATCTTTCCCAGTATGCTACACTCGACCTCTCCCAGGGGGGGGGGGTAAAATAGCCTAAGCTACTCTATCTCTTTGAGATGTATTTCTTTCTTATCTCAATAAACATATTTGAACTTGAACTTGAACAGCTGCCAAACTCCCGGGTATCTATCTAATGCTAGGTTAACAGAGCCATCAGGACGCCAACCCCTGTGCTGCAGTAGTTAGATATCTTAACAAACCGTTATGGCCAGAGGAAAGACAGTGAGCACAGTTGAAACTGAGGCCCATCACTGGAAGGAGCGAGAGGCAGCAGCACACGTCAGAGCGCCGTGGTCCGCGGGGTCTGACAACCCTCAGAGGGCCGTGGTCCACGGGGTCTTGCACAGCCCCTGGTGACAACCCTCAGAGGGGCGTGGTCCGCGGGGTCTTGCACAGCCCCTAGTGACAACCCTCAGAGGGCCGTGGTCCGCGGGGTCTTGCACAGCCCCTGGTTATAACCCTCAGAGGGCCGTGGTCCGCGGGGTCTTGCACAGCCCCTGGTGACAACCCTCAGAGGGCCGTGGTCCGCGGGGTCTTGCACAGCCCCTGGTGACAACCCTCAGAGGGCCGTGGTCCTAGGGGTCTTGTACAGCCCCTGGTTATAACCCTCAGAGGGCCGTGGTCCGCGGGGTCTTGCACAGCCCCTGGTGACAACCCTCAGAGGGGCGTGGTCCGCGGGGTCTTGCACAGCCCCTGGTGACAACCCTCAGAGGGCCGTGGTCCGCGGGGTCTTGTACAGCCCCTGGTGACAACCCTCAGAGGGCCGTGGTCCTAGGGGTCTTGTACAGCCCCTGGTGACAACCCTCAGAGGGGCGTGGTCCGCGGGGTCTTGCACAGCCCCTGGTGACAACCCTCAGAGGGCCGTGGGGTCTTGCACAGTCCTTGGTGACAACCCTCAGAGGGCCGTGGTCCTAGGGGTCTTGTACAGCCCCTGGTGACAACCCTCAGAGGGGCGTGGTCCGCGGGGTCTTGCACAGCCCCTGGTTATAACCCTCAGAGGGCCGTGGTCCGCGGGGTCTTGCACAGTCCTTGGTGACAACCCTCAGAGGGCCCTGGTCCTAGGGGTCTTGTACAGCCCCTGGTGACAGCCCTCAGAGAGCCGTGGTCCGCGGGGTCTTGCACAGTCCTTGGTGACAACCCTCACACATGCTGGAGTTGTGTTGGTGACGGGGGCGGCCGTGGCGGCGGTCTCGTATCAGTGGGGGCGTCTGCAGGCCGTAGATACGACTTGCCACCTGGTGGTACAGGTTGGTCATGACCTGCGGTGTGATTGACATTACACTTCATCAGAACCACATGTATAACCTGCATGTAAGTCTTATAATCTGTTATACACCTGTATCTATAAAAGAAAATGCCTGATTGTCCGAGGCTGGAGGCCAGATGTTTGGGGCTAGTCTCACCCAACTTTCCAACATAGGAGTATGGGAGAAATATTGTCATCTATAGTGACCTACCCCCTGCGATTAACATGAAGTCAAGTCTGAAATAGAGGCTGTGTTTTCCATGCAGTGTTTATGTATAGTGAACATTTTGCGTTTTTTCAGTGTTTCGCAATATTAAATTTTCCGAGGGAGAGGGAGGAGAGGGGAAGATAGAGGAGGAGGAGGTGGGAGAGAGGAAGATAGAAGAGGAGGTGGGAGAGGGGAAGATAGGATGAGGAGGTGGGAGAGGGGAAGCATGAGGAGGAGGTGGGAGACGGTAAGATATAGGAGGAGGAGATGGGAGAGGAGATATCTTGAAAGAGAGGAAAGAAGAGGGGAGAGAAAGGTGGGAGAAGTGTGAGTGGGAAAGAAGGAAAAGTGAAAAAATGTGACGAGGGGGGATAGGGTAGGGAAAGAGAGATGGACGAGGGGAGTGGAGGGAAAGACCCGGTCACAGCCGGGTCCCCCATTTAGCTATGATGCTCACACTGAATACAAAAATACTATTAACCAAATTTGCGGTAAAACCTTTGAACTACAATGTTAACTGTATATTATACGAGATGTACAAGTTTCGGCAGCGGTCAGTCTGTTTATCTTTGATAGTTTATAGTTTCTTTTCATGGACGACTCTTGAAATTGTGTTGGAAGGAAATACATTCATCGGCATTCCTTTACTGGCAGTTGTTCTATTTGGACTCTCAGTAGATGTAGTATACATGGCCTTCACTAAAGGTTTTGATAAAGTTCCACATGGAAGACTGGCAAGGAAATTACAGGCACACGGAATAAATGGTAGAATACTAGAATAGTTAAAACAATGAAAGTAGAGTGTGGTCATAAATGAACATGAATTTTGACTAAAAAGAAGGTAGTTATACAACTCTCGTGCACTCCCACTTGGAGTATTTGTTATAATCACCGTCTGATAACCATCCTTACCGACCTCAAGAGTCATTTTTACCCACCTAGAAAGATCGCAGACGGCCCAAGCTGTAACTTAATTTAAAAAGGAACGTGTCTTATACACAATCTTGCGTGATATTTGGCTATAAAGGGGTAAATTGTAGCAGATTGCGAAACAAAATGGCGCCCGGGCGGACGGTGACACATGCGGGGTTTGGTGAAGTTCAGCGAAACTGTCTACAGCTCACGCAACGAGAGAGGTGACTGGTGGGGGCTCAGGTGCTCAGCCAATCAGCGACGAGCTTTCTGTGAAGTTATCGGCGGGCACCGAGCCCGACCCAGAGAGCAGAACCCGGCCCACTGTTCCGCCAAACTTTGGATTTTAAGTGGCGAGTTGGGCCTATGAAAGAGGCAACAGGTTGACCATGTTGAGGGGCCAAGGGGACCTTTTTGGATAAGGTCGTACGAGTATCGTCGACGAAGGGCCCTGCTGAAAGTAGAAGAGATGCGATAGCGATCTGGTGGGTCAACGCGAATGGACTGACTGTCGAAGCCTAGTGACAGTCCTGACCAATGAGCGTCGGACGTGATAACGACTCGGTGCGTGTGAATCCATAAGGAGTAGCCATTGAAGAGGCTATTGATGACGACCGAGATCATGGTAAACAAGTGCTCTTTCTGATTTTGTCTGTGAAGAGGCAAAGGGAGTGTTGACTGTGACCCTGGAAAGGGAGTACCTTATTAAACTGTGCCAACGAAGAAGCTGTGAACAATCGTGTATCGATGTTAAACAATTCTATAGTAACCAGTGAAGTGAGCAAGTGTGGCAGAAAATCATATCTCTGGTTACTCTATAAAGACTGCGATGGCGCCCTGTATCGAAACTGACCGAGCCAGTGAAGTCGACTGTCGTAATATCTTCTTCCATGGCAGTGAATCAGTGCATTGGGTAATAACATAAGGCTGCCGGAAAAAGGGTACATCACGCGGAGCGACGAGAGCCAAGGAAGATAGAGTGCAGACACCAGCATTGGACGGCCCACAGGGCGTGTCCCCTTGTGTGTTGAGAGGATCGGTGCCCCGTCTGTATTACCCAAGGAAGGAAGAGGATACGTGCGAGCCAGGTAGCAGTTATTGCTCACCAGCCCGATGGCAGCACAATTCAAAGGAATATAAGAGTTAATAACTGGGTATCCGCAATGCAAGCTGAGTTGGTAGCAATACTGGTAGCACTCGAAATTATTGACAACACTGAAGTAGACAGCTTAATAATTTCCGACTCCCTTTCCTCACTACTAGCAATAAAAAGTTTGCAATCACAATAACGTGCTTGTCTCAGAAGCCAGACATAGATATATAAGAATACTTAGCAAGAGGGTAAATATAAAAATGTTGTGGATTCCATCTCACATTTGCCTGCAGGAACAGGATAAAGTTGACGCCCTTGCTAAGGTTGCAGTAAATAAAGACAGTATTGAACGGAATCTTGAGTTATCAAATAGGTCCCTTAAAAGTGTCATTAGACGAGAAATCTTGGATGAATTTAAAGAAAGTAGAACAGTGCAATTGGAACTAGCAGGTCCATTGTTTATCACAATGAAATGTGTGAAGTAAAACATGTGTATGGGGCAAGTAACAAGGTCAGTAGACTAACAGACGTTGTCACATCTCGAATAACCATTATTTTAATCATTCTAATATCTAATATTCTACCATTTATTCCGTGTGCCTGTAATTTCCTTGCCAGTCTTTCATGTGGAACTTTATCAAAACCTTTAGCGAAGTCCATATATACTATATCTACTGGGAGTCCAAATAGAGCCAGTAAAGGAATGCCGATGAATGTGACAGATCGAATAAGACTTGGCTACAAGTATCTTTGTCAATTCGGCTTGTATAGGGATCTAACTGAAGTAAAGTGTAACGGACGTTACGTTTGTCTTATCAAACGGACGTTGTCTCTGTCTTTGTGTACAAAGACAGGGACACACACACTCCAACACTATATCTTGGATTGTAGTAAAATTGAGCCATTTAGAGATAAATCTAAGCTCACGCTGTGTGATATGGAAACCTATCTTATTTTCAAGGATAAAATACCTGAAATCCTTGCACTGTATCCATATTTCGCTTTCGATAGATAAACGACATATGAGATTAAGAAACATATAGTGTATTGTGAAGACTAATAATAAACAGCAGCTCTCCCAATGACTGTAATATCTCAATTGCTCAAACAATTCTGTGTTAGCGATAAGACCTACCATTAATAATATATAATGACTTACTGTAAATATATAGCTCTTGAAATAGAACATTTTCTGTAACTATAAGGTGTGACATTGTAACTATAAGGATGAGTATGGGGTGCACAATAAACTAACCGCCTCCGGCGGCAACAATAAAAAAATCAAATCAGGTAGCAGCCAGGGATGTGATGATGGAACTTCAGCTACACATGGCAGCTACAAACCACTGGAGATATCATCATTTCCTAACTAAGTAATCTGCCCTCCTCTTTTCCCTTGTCGAAAAGGCGTTCCTGAGGGAACTTGTATGAGTTTATTGTTTATATATATATATATATATATATATATATATATATATATATATATATATATATATATATATATATATATATATATATATATATATATATATATGTGTGTGTGTGTGTGTATAAACTCACGTGGTAGGATACATTGAGACTATATATGTGAATAGATTAAAATTAGTATTAACGAAGGTCAAGAGCGGCCGTTGATTGCAGACTTGATTGACGCTATTTAAGACAATTATTTATTTATGTAGTTTTTTTGTTGGTAAATATTCTTTTTAGTTTTAAACGCTGTGTTTATATGTAACTTCATTACGATTATGCCAGGTTGTTTATACGTTAAAGCCTAACAGGATAGGTTACTTGAGTTTAGGAATAAATATTTAATGAAATCGGGGAACGTAGCCTCATGTTTCAAGAGGACTAGAGCAGAGAAACTGAAGTAATTTCTTCCGCGTTGGGTGAAGGTGAGAACCCAGATGATCACAATAGCTGGATAATCAGGTGTCCGAGATTGACACCTGAAGCTCTACCACTCGTTCTCTGGGGACTGAAGGTAGCCTAGTAAGTTTCCAGAGGTGCGGCGAGGTCCCTGTATTTTGGGGCAGGTGAACACAGGGGTTAAACGCCGACTTTATCACAAGTGACAGTAAAGAGAGCAATGACGAAGTGTCAACGGTGGAGCTCGACAAGGCTCTGTCCTTTGTCTTCCTCCTTGGCATATTGTATCCAAACATTGAGACATCATCTTTAGAAAGGCATATTTGCTCTGTAGAGAGTTCAACAAAGGGCGACTAAAATCATTCCTGAACTAAGTCGACTCTTATACCAGGAACGGTTGAGGGCCACTGGGCTAACAACACTAAAAACCAGACATGACAGGGTTGATCTCATTGAAACTTAAAATTTTGGACAATTTGGAGGATATTGATGTAGACCACTTCTTCCAAAGGTCAGATGTAATACGAATAAGGAGCAATGGTTTCAAGCTCAGCAAGCTACAATGTAGGACTGAAAACAAGAAATGCTTTGATTGATTGATTGATTAAGATTAAGCCACCCAAAAGGTGGCACGGGCATAAATAGCCCGTAAGTGGTGGCCCTTTGAAGCCATTACCAGTACCATTAGCTGATACTGGAGATCTGTGGATGTGCGACTGCACCCTACGGAGAGGTCGTGATCTCTGGAAATGCTTTTTCACTCACAGGGTTATAAACCCATGAAACCGCCTACCCAACGAAGCTGTAAATACCAAAACGCTGCTGAATTTTAAAATCCAGTAAGACAAAATCATCAGGACAAGCCTCGTCCTCGTCGTCCTTTCTGTCCTCGTCGAGGCCACTAGAGATGTAGTGGCCCTCAGGTAAATGAGACCTAATGTTCTATTAACCCTGAAGCTCTACTATGTTCTCCATGAAGAAAAAAATTGTGTTTATTGAGTTTCTCCCAGAGTGCAGTTTCCCTCAACTCACATGATGTAAACAATGGAATGTTGCTGATCTTGCAAGACCTGCCGCGTCGCAATAATATTAACGTCTGAGTCACTAACATTCAAATAGATTAATATTGTAGATATATTTATGTTTTCAGCATGTATTGAGATTATAATGAAGATATACTCGGTACGTGTGCATGTGATTATAATAAATAAATTTTGAGGAATTATATCGTACAGCTTAATAGCCTCTCGAGACTGGGATTACATCTGTCTCCACCATAGGTGCATTATAGCATACCTTCTGCGCCTCCTCTGGGTACCACATAGGAGTCTCGAAGCCTGGAGGATCACACTGGTTGCACTTCTGCCCCGTCAAGAGGAAACGGACGTTGCCCTGGTTGCTAGAAGTGTCCCACTTGTAGTAGAAGACTACCAGCCCGTACATGCTAGTCCAGCCGTGGGAGCACCTCTGTGAGTGGAAGACCACAGTCTTACAGGCTCATTGTCACACTCCTGCTCGCCTGGTCAAGCAGGCACACCACACACCCATAAATATTGATATGTGTATTTCCTATTATGGTATAATATCAATTTGTAACATTTACAACTTTTAAATGGTGCCTAACTTCTTTAAGATATATTTTTGTCGTGAAAAAATGTCTTTTATATTGCTAACATATTAGTTATATTGCAAGAATTGACTAGAATGGCTATATTGGTCAAATGCTTTAATGGATGGAAGGTTACCTTATCAACAGAAAATCCTCTGTTCTGTTTCAGAGCCTCAGAAGTGAAAATAAATTAAATTAGTGTATCTAGGCGCTCCTTAAAGTGGATGGAGTCTTAAGCCCCACCTTGTTCAATGGACTAATAAATGCCTTACTAAAATTTAATTATTTATTTATTTATTCGTATACAATAAGATATAATGGGTTGCTAAAGTGCAAATGTTGGTGGGAGAGAAGTACATTCTTAAAGAATTATCCGAAATAAGCGTAATGATAGATACATTGTAACAGAATATGACTTTACACGATAACTACATCAGTTATGAAGATCCCTCTCACACACTCGGCTACAAAAACATAATAAAGTTGACTTCCTTATCAAATTTATGATTAATATTTGTTATTATTATTGTTATTATGAATATTGACGAGAAGAATTGCTACTACAATTTTAAATAACACTTGCTATAGCCTACTGAAATGTTAGAAACCTTCTCCTAAGGTTTCTACAGAACGTGTACCATTGACGTGTTACCTGTCAAACTGACCTGGCAAGAAAAGCGGACCTTGGCCATGTCCTTGAAGACGCTCCAGTGTACGGGGATAACCTCGGTCGGTCCGAAGGTCCAGATGTTGGGCAGGTTCCTGAAGATGAGCTCGAAGTGATGGTTCCACACCTGCTCCAGGCCCCTGGTGGAAGGATGCGGTTTCCAACATAAAGTTATATATTAATTTGTGCAATAAAGTGATAACATTTGGACATCTGTAATTGTGTATCTAAATGATGTGCTATGAATAGTTCAATATAGTCCTTGATGGAGAGCCATTTCACTATTCTGTAATCTCACTCGCGTCCGGCTAAGGAGCTATGTTATGTCCGAAACACAAATATGTATGATGTCATATGAATACAACCAGCTGTACCTTCTTGTATATAAATAAATAAATAAATAAATAAATAAATAAATAAATAAATACATACATACATACATACATACATACATACATACATACATACATACATACATACATACATACATACATACATACATACATACATACATACATAAATAATTAAATAAAGAACTTGGTGGCATAATTGCTTGCTGGCTTAGGGTAATCCAGAATCTTAATGCTTGTTCGTTGTAGACTTTCAATGAAGAAACTGAAATGGATTAGTGAATCTGATTTGCAGGTATGGTGTTGTGTGGTAGACCTGACACCTCTGGTAGTGTTGGTGGGTGTGGCGGGGGGGGGGGGGGCAGTGAGCGTCCGCCTTCTGTTGTATCTTCCTGAAAAAACAACATTGTGCCAGCAAAGAAGACCTGCCACACCTTGACTATATTACGCAAAACATACACATTTTACCTGAATTTACCTGAAGGCCACTAGTACAAGTCGCCTCGACGAGGATAGGTAGCCGGCGGCTTGTCAAAGGTTCCCCCATAGACCTTAATAGACCTGGTGATCTTTTCCAGCGGAATTTTAAAATTTAATAAATTGTTGGCATTTATGGCTTCGGCGGGTAGGCGGTTCCATGAGGTTATAACCTTGTTGGTGAAAAAGCATCACAGGGATGATACTTGTTGTGAGGCTTTTTTCAGCATCACAACAATCATCGTCTGTTATCAGTCCCACATTGTGGCGTGTTGAGCTTGGAACTTGAGCTTGAGTTCGTTGCTCCGTCCTTGTCTTACATCTGACCTTTCGAAGAAACTCTCCGGATCAACATCCTCTAAATAATAATAATAATAATAATAATAATAATAATAATAATAATAATTTATTTGCAAGAAGGAACAATGGGTTGGTGAGATTACATAAGATTGGTATTTTTACATTCATGCAAAGCCACTTATTTATTTATTTATTTATATATATACAAGAAGGTACATTGGGATTGTGAGGATACATAGCATAGTAATTACAATCTTGTAAAGCCACTAGTACGCGCAGCGTTTCGGGCAGGTTCGTTATCTAAGAAAATTTTAAGTTGGTAAATATTTGCAAAATTTATAAAAATGATAACAGTTACATAGCAAGAAAAACAAATAAAAGATGAGAGAAAATTGATGGTATATTAAAGCACATAGGTAGCTCAGATTAACAGCAACAGTGTTTCGGGCAGGTCCTTAATCTAACATATCAGGTAAGATATGTTCAGATTGTTCAAATTGTTCAGTATTTTTAAGGTTTCAATAAGATCCGCCATCTCATGCCTGGTTTGCAGTGTTGTTGTGGCCTTGTGGCCCTCAACCGTTCCTGATAAGAGAGTTGACTTAGCCCTGGAATGATATTTCTTGTTACCATTGTCTCACACACGCACACACGAATACTTGGTGAAATGCTATAAAAAATTGGTCACTACCTTTCTGAGACCTGTAGTTAGTTTAGTTCATTTATTATGCACCCCATACCCATCTTGTGGGCGGTAGTGGAAAGGGTTACAGAGGCACATAATGGGCTCAGGGACTGAACCCCACAGTTCATTTAGCTAAGCAAGTTACAATCTTGATGAGCTAGTTACAAAATTCAGTATAAGTCGTCACATCAACAATGGGTTCGAGATCGACCACAAGTACAGTTTCTAAATTAAGCAACTGACCAAAGCTGGAATACGCAGCTGTTGTATGGTGCCCATTTCTTAAGAAGCACATCAACAAACTGGAAAAGGTGCAAAGATATGCTACTGCATGACTTCCGGAACCGAAAAGACAAGAGCTACGAGGAGAGGTTAGAGGCATTAAATATGCCAAAACTAGAAGATAGAAGAAAAAGAGTCGACATCATCACTACATACAAAATAGTAACAGGAATTGATAAAATCGATAGGGAAGATTTCCTGAGACCTGGAACGTTAAGAACAAGAGGTCATAGATTTAAACTAGCTAAACACAGATGCCGAAGAAATATAAGAAAATTCACTTTCGCAAACAGAGTGGTAGACGGTTGGAACAAGTTAGGGGAGAAGGTGGTGGAGGCCAAGACCGTCAGTAGTTTCAAAGCGTTATATGACAAAGAGTGCTGGGAAGACGGGACACCACGAGCGTAGCTCTCATCCTGTAACTACACTTAGGTAATTACACACACACAAACACTTAGAAAATTAGAAATTAGATGCGTCTTAAACCTGATAAAATTGTTATCTACATTCCCCCTTGGAAAGATGAACAGGGCTCTATACATTATAGACCCATAAGTTCAAAGCAAACCTATAATACTGAGACTATGGGATGTATAACAATGAAGCTACTGACAGTCATCTTCAAAATCTCATACCAATTGAATTATAAAATAATAATAATATATGCCTTTACTGATGGTTCTGTGCAACTAAGCACCGACAGAGCAGGTTGTGCATATGCAGTATATACATGAAAGGAAATGATCATGTCTAAGTTACAGCCCCGCTCCTGTGCCAGGTAAGTCCACTACGGGCTCACCATAGCCCGTGCTACTTGGAACTTTTTGTTCCCAGTAGCTGAATCTAAAACAACAAACAACGTCATGTCTACTACCACTTACGGGCTATTCATGCCCTTGCCACCTCTTGGGTGGCTTAATCTTCATCAATTAAATTATGTCTACACAGCCCCGCTCCTGAGCCAGGTAAGTCCACTATGGCTCACCATACAACCCGTCCTCAGACCAAGTCCATTCCATCCAGCGGTCGACCACAAAAATGCATTCATCAATTTTAACATGCTGTTCATTCAGAATAGGACTTTTTTCACATAAATTAATATTATCATATATTAGCATATTGTGCATATTTAGGCACTGGTTAGGTTAGGTTAGGTGTTTAGGTTCTGTTGGCGATTATTTGTATTTGTAGTATGCGGGTGAAGCATTTATAGCGTTGTAGTTCGAACAAAAGTCGTCAGTGAAGCACTTGTTCCGGAAGTGTTCGGACGTCATCAGTTGTGTAAACCGTTTTTCATTAATAAACAGGGGTTTAGCTGGTGCATGGAATGGACCATGGCCTTCGTTTATGAGGAGGACTACACCATAGTCCGTGCTACTTGGACCTCTTTGTTCAGAGTTGCTAAATCTAAAACAACAACAACAACAACAAAATTGGACTCGCTGCCGGCGCTATTGCTAGCTGGCCGCACACGAATTTGTTCCCGGGAAAACTTACGATTCTGAGCACCCATCAGGTCAAATCATCGCGGTTTTGTGAGGAAGAATACATCAATACTCCAATACCCCAGGCAATATCTTATTTGGAAGGAAACAATTCCGATTTCGTCTACAATTGATGGACAAACAACGTTGTTTTCTGCTGTCCAGCTGACTGGTATTCTGCGCATCCCAGTACGCAGGCGGCCCAAATTCTCGTATCGCACTCTCGTCACCCATGATCATTTTTTTTTTAGTGAGGACCGTATCACTGACCAGGTCACTTAGAGTCCTACCCTGAAGGGCGAGGCGGTACCCTGCGGACATAGTCACAAGGGAGCGCCTTAGAAGGTGTACTGAGCCTTTACAGGGAAAGGTAGACCAAACAGCTGAATTGGGTGTTAGGTATCCCTGATTCCACCTGGGGGAATCATTCTACGACCTTCGTTGGAGAGGAATGAATTTCTCTAGGCCTAGGAGTGTCTCAGGCATTAGGTGGGGCAGTGAATCAGTCCTCACTACGTGAAGAGTCATGGGGAAGTCAAAGAGAAAGAGACAATGAAGGCAGCTTTCAGACGAGGAGGGACAGTGGACCGAGGTGCAGCAGGCACCAAATAAAACTGCTATCGAGGCTTCACCACGTGCTTCTACCAGCAAGACAGCAGACATAATAGACCTATAGAGGACAGCATCAGTCACACACCAGCCAGTGTCAGACACTGCACCTCTCTCCACAGCCCAGTCACAGGACAACAGTATGAGACAGGAGAGGACACCACCAGTCTCACACCAGACATCACCAGACTCTGCACATCTTCCAAAATTCAAGATAATGCAGACAGACCACTTTCCTACAGCATATGGAGTAGTAACGGCAATGGAAAAGGAACAATTAGAGTTCAAACTTTCCATCATAGTCAACCTGAAAGGAGAAATAATAATAACACCACAAGACCAACAGACTGCAAATTACTTAGAAAAGTAAAAGTCCTGCAAGGGAAACCTGTATGCTTGGAAAAGTTGGACCCTTCAGGAAGACGCACACGAATCGTGCTTTTGGGATACCCAATCGACTTTCCCCTGGATCCAGTAATAGAACACAGGCAAATCCTGAATGCGGAACGATGCCGCACAAAAGTAGACAAGGCAGCGACACGTCAGGTTCTGGTGACCGTCACGGGACATGTGCCAAAATCATTCAGTCTTGGAAGTTGCGGAACATACCGACAGAGACCATACGTCCCAGAACCCCTGCGCTGCTTCAGGTGTCAGAAATACGGCCACCATCAATCACGCTGCACCGGACAGGAGAGATGCGGAGTATGCAGTCTGAGACATCCAACCAAAGACTGCATAGCCAAGCACAAGGCAAACCAGGCCACAACAGCCAAATGTCCAAATTGTGGAGCAAACATCATGCCTGGAACACAACCTGCTCTGCACGGAAAGAAAAGTTGCAGACAGCTCAGGTCAAGATAAACACACAGACCAGCACCACATACACCAACACCAACGTCTGGAACACTCGTGTACAGCCACAGCAGACGCACACTCTCACAGAACAAAAT